GGCAGGGGGTCAGGCTAGATGATCTGTTCAGGTCCCTCCTGACCCTAGCTACTATGAAACTAGAAAACAAATGTTTAAAAACATGGAAAAAAAATAGTTGGTGCACTAGGATTTTTGACACTGACTATATGTGAACAGATCTTTAGAGGTCATCTTAGTTCAGCGTACTTTGATCCAACATGGTAGGCAGGCAGTTAAATTTTCACAAGGCCTAGGGTAAGGAGATATTGCTTGTTCAAGTGAAATCTTGTTTTCAATCTAATTTCCATACTCCATCTACTTTAACAAGCACAATTAATTTATCTAGGAGAAATAATGTCCAACTTGGATTGTACTGTATGCAGTAAAAATATTTATTGACCCAGAGCCCCTCAATTCCTCAGCGTTCATTTGTACCCCTCTAGTTACAATCCAGCTCCTAGATAAACTGTTTGTATCACTAGCAGTGTACCAATTAAGATTTTTTGGGCCGATACTGATGGCTAATTATTAACGAGCCATATCAGCCAATACCAATCTGATTGCTAATATGCAGCCCAATAGCTTGGAGAGCAGCGTCCAGCTGATAAGTCTGTTGGGGGGAAGGGGAGGGGTGGCGAGGAAAAGGGGTGGGGCAGATCGAAGCCCCTTCAGGGAGGAAGGGAGCAGGGCTCCCTTCCTCACTGAGAACAGAGAAGGGAACAGAACAGAGCTGTGAGTGGCTCGTCCGGGGGGAGTGGGGGGCATCTTCCGCCACTGCACGCACCCCCAGGGGAGCCATGGGGGGCATGTGCCCCCCAGATCTGTGCACGGGGCAAAGGTGGACTGGGGCCCGGGGCAGAGCCAGTGGGGTGCTGGGCCAGGGCTGTGCTTGGGACGGACGGTGGCGGCGCTGGGAGGGAAGCCTATGGGGTGGTAGGCCCTCCCCGCAAGCACTGCCACCTGCCCTGAGCCAAAAAAACCTGATTGCCGATAATGTCAATTTTCCTTTTATCAGTGCAGATACAGTATGGACCAATGTATCGGTGCACCTCTATGTATCACATATTCAACAGCGGTTAACCATAGCTGTCTGGACTTGCCAGTCAAGCACAGACAGAAGCAGAATGTCACAGCTGTAGAAAATATCCAGATACCACGTTCTCATAAAATTTAAACCAGTAACTATAGCATATGGACAACCAGGCAGGGTGGCCAGAAAGGTTTTCATGGTGTTATGTTCTAATAACAAACTTTTTATTTGGTTCCTTGTTTTGGTATCAAGTTATTACTTGATGCTGGTTCTGATAATCATCTGGCTTCTTTTTAAGCAAGAATTTTATAGTTTTATCCTCTAATTGAGAAGCTGGGGCTTAGAAGAGGCAAAATGAGAATATATTATTGGGGAACTGTATGTGAACAGAACTGCTCTAATTTAGATACCACATTTAAAAAATAAAGTTTGAAGTTTGTATTACACCATGAATTTTCCAAACCAGTATCAAGAAACAGCTTCCTTCTCATTTCTGCATATTATAGTGAAAGTAATGGTGTCTGCAATAAATATTAGAAACCAAAGAATGGAACAGAAGTGATCAACAGAACTTATCTACTCACTGGCAAGCATCCATGAGAATCATTCTCTGTGCAATTTTTCTAAATTATTTACTTCACTAAGTGCTCAGTAAAGAAGCTTACTAAGAAGCAGCATCAGACATGAGGAAGCTGCTTGGAGGGGAATACTATCAATTATACAAGTGAAAGGGCCACTGTCTTAGGATAATTAAGCAGAGTGTCTGTGAGCTGAAGCTCCCAAGGGAGTTCCCTTGAACATCAGCCGTTTTTCCTGCTTCCATTGTTTTCACTTTTTCAAATTACACTTAAAAAAAAGGTTAATTGACAATCCCATGCTGTTACTCATTCTGATCTACACTACAATTTTTTCCTGGCACACACAGTTGATTAGGCATTGGAAAAGACCACACCCCATGGTCTGTGTAGTTGGGCCAGCAAAATACCTGGTGCAGATGCTGATATGCTAACAGAAGAGGGCTTCTGCCAGCATATGCTGCATTTGTGCTAGGTGTCTCTGATAACATTACTATGCCAACACAGCTATGGCAGGAGCAGCTCTGTAGCGCACACAAGCTATTAGCAACATTAGAACATGCTCATCTACCAGGCAAATTCAACTCTCTCTCTCACATCTTTTGCAAATTTCCTACCACGTCATAATTTGCAA